AGATATCACAAGGAAATCCTTTACTGTGAGGGTGGTGAGGCACTAGCACAGACTGCCCAGAGAAGCTGTGGATGCCCCATTCCTGGAAGTGTTCATGGCCAGGCTGGATGGGGCTCTGAGCAATCTGGTTTAGTAGAAGGCTCCCTGCCCATGGTAGGGAGTTGGACTAAATGATCTTTGAGTCTGTTCCAACCCACACTGTTCTATGATTCTAATATTTATCTCTGCCTCCTGTAGAAGTACTGCACCTTAGGCCAATAGTGAATAAAATCAGGAACCTCAGTTCTCTCCTGCCACATGAAGCTCTGACGATTACAACAAGCACTTGGACACCAAAGCTTTCAGCAGCATTCCCTGAGCTACTATTATTTTTGACACCAGTCCACACCTAAATTTAGCAATTCCCAGTCCTAATGTCAGTGCAACTTTGCTATTGCTGATTTAGAATAGTGCTCTGGCACAATATTCTCATTCTGAAAATAGCTTCTAATTCTTTACCCAGGGCAGAAGGGCTGTCCTGCTCCACCCACACAACCTGATGATTCAGTGATATACTTTATGTTCAGGGTGATGCACAGACTGATTTACGAAGCTCCCCAGTCCTTGTTAGATCAATAACACTGAGGGTAGGCCTGACTCAGATATTAAGATACACTGAATTTAAAGGACTCTTAAATTTAAATCATATCCAAATCTGCAGTTGGAACCTGTCATTTAAGGGTACAAACACCTTCAGGCATAGACCCATAGGTTGCACCCTCCAGAATGCAAATTTGCAAAGTGACAGCTGGCTGCTGGTGTGCAGAAGTGATCCCAGATGCTCCACAGGTTTCCTCAGCATGTAAAGCAAACTTTAAATGCATGTTCAGAGGACAAGCAGTGAGTTTGGTCTTTGTACATGCTTGGAAACTATTTTGCATGTATACAGTAGTGCTCCATGCATATGTGATAGCTGAGGCCACTCCTTATTCTTAAACTTGACTCTCATTCAAGTCCCATAAATGATACCTCTGAGCCCAAACTCCAGAGCCGGTCATTCATGAGGTTAATTCTATCTGAATATAAGCTCTAGGAGAGCTTACAGTCTCATGAGGATTTAATTCAGAAAGCAGGGATTATGCTGCTTATGTGACATGCCACATATGAGTACAAACCCACCAATGCCTTGCAATTTTCCAGCTTATTATTCAGTAGTAATAGACATGAATGAAAATTAAATGAATAACACTACTGTCACTCCTACCACTGCACACCCATCGCTTCAATTTACATGTTGCTGTGCTTATAAGTGACCACTTGCAAGGCCACATTGACAACTCACTGAGAACATCAACACCATGTGGAAGATCTGGGGAGTCATCTCATGAAAAGAGTGCTGCAAGGGTGACTAGAAAAATGATGGGTGAGTCAGATCCAAAGCCAATCAACCACAGAAATATTTCAAATTTTCTTATCTGATGGGGATCATCAATATCAACTATTTGAGTGGAGTTTCTTGATCAGTTTATCCACTCCATTACTATGAAGGAACAAATATGCACCTTCGCATGCTCCCACTCACTTCATCCTGCCCTCTTCCTTGCATTTGACAGCAAGGGTACACCAGCATGCACACTCAGGTAAATTGAGCGAGAGGAGTTGACTCAACTCAAAACTAATCTCACAAAAAGAAAGAAAGAAAAAAAAGGTCATCTCAGCTGCATGCTTGCCAGCCCTGTACAAGGGATGCAAAAGGACTACATGGAGTGCGTGTGGGAAGAGAAAGCAGAAGGGGCAGAAGCAGCCCTAAATGAGCTTAGACTGATTATGAAACATCAGAGTAGACCTATGAATCACATTTCTTTTCATAAAATAATACCACAGAACATCTGATCATCTCCCCACAATAACATCTGAACATAAATTGAATACTATCCCAGTAATGTAGTTAATGCATACAAGATACTAAGGAATGCAGTCATTAGGACTCCACGGATTTGGTCAGTTTGCTACAGTAACAGGCAGCCTACAGCCATTTGTGTAAATGAACTAGAAAGGGTTGCTCTTCTTGTGATTTTACCAAAAATGCCCAACTCATTCATACTTCCACTCTAAGCACAGTCATGTAGTTGTGTAAGACTATCACATTTCTCATACAAGAAACATCTCATGGGTACACAGAAAGATGCTGGTTTCGCTTATCAAACAGAACTGTTCTTTTGGATTTTTAGATCATCTTTCTATTGATTGAACATCTCCTCTCATGAATTCTGGGCCCAGACTATACTGGGCTGCACTGGACAACACAACAGTTAGGCCACACAGGCACCTGTCACAGCCTCTCCAAATGCACTGTGCAGGTTCATCAGGGCTCCCTGTAGACTCAAAGGCTCAGAAGCAATAAATGACACATCTCTGATCCCAACCTCCTTGTGAAAATACTTCATTGGTAGGCAGGCTTCTGTGTTACTTTCTTTTTGAGAAATAAATTGTTTAACAGAATTTCCCTCCTATCTTCCTCTTCCACTGGGCAAGAATAGCTAAAAGCATGTTGCTCATATTGAGAGTATGAAACAGTAAGAGCAGAGCAGCTTAACACAAACCTGCAGGAATTACAGATCACACTACAAACCCATAACATCTAAATATTTCTCCCTGTTCTATTGAATCTTATCAACTCATTATTTATACTGATATTGGGCCTGACGTCTCCAGGCAGACATGAGGCCAACTGGGATGGATGGCTGTATGGGTACAAGGAATCTGCCGGCCTAAGTCCCCATCCCTTCAAGTGCGTGCTGCCCTCTCCTGCATCCGTTCTCCAGTATCAGTCCTTGCCCCAATAAACCACTTTGCTCTCTCTAGACATCTCTGTGACCTGAACCTGTGTGTGCTGTAGCACTGCACAACACCAGAATCACACCCAGGGTAGGTGTTTCCTGTGGAAAACCACGTGTGAGGGGCTTTTCTGAGTAGTAAGCTTGATCGTGCAGGTTCCTTTCCTGTTGGTTTAGAGATGCAACTTGGTCTGCAGCTGTCAGGGCTGAGTGGGCAAGATATGGCTGAGATGGGATGTTTAAGATCTAATTTATAAACAAATAAAGGTTGAAAAATCCTCCCTTCCAACATCACTGGGGAAAAAAAGAAGAGGTAGAGCTTTATTTCTTAATAAATTTTATCTCAACAGAGGACCTGACCCTTACAGGATTTTGTTTTAAGACAAAGAAAAGGGGAAAAGGGAAGGGGGAAAGGGGAAAGGAGAAAGGAGAAAGGAGAAAGAGGGAGGGAGGGGAAGTGTGATTACTTTGACTGACAGAGATGCTGCATTTAAATTGGTGAAAATTCAGATCAATCAAGATGGGACATAAGTGAGCACAAAGGAAAAGCTGTTGATCCTTTGAGCAGATATCACTTTTCAGGAAAAAAGTGGACATAACTATAAGACAAACTCAGTCATACCAAACTAAATCTCTTCGCAGTGCTGATTAGAAGCAGTCACTCTTGTTCAATAATTGAAATACTTCTGACTTTGCTTTCTGTGTACCCAATTCTTCAAAACTTGTAATTATATCTGAATCATGCTTCCACATACACACACCTTACATTGTAAAAGTATCTCCTGATTTTGAAAATGTGACTCATTGAAGCTGTATTTTCTGGGAGCTGCATTATCCAGACACAGATAAGGCACAGATGATAACTGAAAGTAAGAAAGAAGAATAACTTATGGAAGAAAAACTCCTACGTTTGTGAACTAGGGAAAGAATCAGTGATTATCATTCTGATAAGAAAAATGCACGATGCTTGGTTTATAAGGTTATTTCTATTATGATTTAAACACTGCTTAGATAACATGTCAAATTTCCACAATGATCTACAAACTTTTCCTTCTAAGATGAACTGCCAATTGTAAATAATTATATTTTGTCTTACTGGAGAATCAAACAGACAAAGAGAAATCTGGGAAGGCTGCTATAAAGTACTTAGTCATACTAAGACGTATAAGAAGAGAAAGGAGAGATTAAGTGAAAAACTCCATAGGCCTTGAAGTTTCTCCAAACAAAACCTGTATTGCAAAGCAACACATCCTTCTGTGGGATCATTAGCTGTTCTGATTTTACCCTTGCTCTACTTTTGCTGGATGACCTTGACAACAGTATTCCTATCTCTGATTTTCTCTCTTGTGTGTGAAAAGAAAACAATTCCTTGCCTCACGAAGATGTTGTCAGATTTATGGTTATAAAGTGACAAACAGACCCTAATTGTCATGATATGCAATAGTTAAAATTTCTGTGAAGTCAGTGATGAGGTCAGGAATGATTCAGATCAATCACAGTCATATGAAAGAATGGGAGATACACAATGGGTTTGTATTTGATATTTTGTTGAGTGAGAAATCTGTCTGATTCTATGAAACCATACAAGGCACAGCATTATAATGGCTTTTCAACTGAATTTGAATGAGTGCTTTTTTTTAACCCACTTTTTCTCATTGCAAAAGTTTGCAAAAGTGTATTTAAAGAAGGCGTATTCATAGCACTTACTTTGGTTTGGTTTTCAAATACTTCTGTCTCGGTCTACCACCCATGGAGACTTACTATTGATCCTTCAGTGAATCAGGCATTCCCCTTAAGGTGGTGTAAGAAGTCACCAAGGTTTGTGGGGAAGGCAGAAGAGAAAAAGAAACCCTAAATCACTCTCTTTCTTACCCCTCTGAAGATTTCCGACAAAAAAGTGAGATAAGTTTCACTGTGACCTGCAAACTAACTACCTAGCAGTAAGATGTTATTTGGCACCTCGGAGACTTAGAGCAGCAATTAGCTAAACTTAAGAACGTGAGACGTTTTTAAGATATAAGTACTTTCGAACTTCTAAGCAGCGTTACTTTTAGCACTTTCGAGTGTCGTCGCAAGACGCAGTTTCCCCACGCAACACACAGCAGCCTCACCCTCCCCACCTCCTGGGGAGCAGGGATGCTGCCCAGGGCGGCAGTGCCGCGGGGGGGCAGGCTGTTTACAAACAGTGGGACACCCGAGCCGAGGAGGGAGCCCGGGCCGGGCGCGGGGAGGGGGCGGAGCCGGTGGCTCCGGGCCCGGGAGCCCATATGCTGCCGGGGAGCGCGGCCCGGCCGGTCCCTCTTCCCCGAGGAAGGAAGCGCAGGAGAAAGCAGCTCGCCGGCCAGTCTTGGAGGTGAGGTGCGGGAATCTCTGCCGGGCGTCGTCACGTTCCCCCTCCCGCTTTCTAAACTAAGAGCAGCCGCGTTATTCGTTCCTCTGATGACTAAAGCGAGTAGCCGGGTAATTAAAATTAGCGAAAATATTCCGAATTTCTAAATGCTTCTTTCCCCTCTCCTCTGTCTGGCTTCGAGAATTTTAAGAGCTGGTCTGTTCGGGGGAGGAGGGTGTTTTACTTATCCGCGTTTCAGGAATTGCGGTTCCCTGCTTTGGACAAACGAGTTTTCCAACTGCTTTGTTTCCAAGGTTTCGGTGCAGACCGCATCCATTAACGCCCTACGCGCCTGCTCCGCTCCCGTCCGAAAGAAGAGTCGTTTCGGGGGTTTGGGATTTCAAATTTCTGTGATAAACGAGACGCAAAGTTTAGTGCAGTTTTAATGTCTGTTCATGTAGCCTTTTAGGAGATTCTCCCCAAACCTCTGATTGTCTGGCAGTCGATTATGTTTAAGAAAAAAAAAAAGGCGGAAAAATATCAAACTTTTTGTGGCCCTTTCAGGGTCTTTCTCATGCCCTGAGCCTTGGAGGGAAAACCCGCGGCGACTCGAGCATTGCGGTGAAACAGCCCATTCAAAGCAGTGCCGTTTCCTCCCGCCCCTTGTTCCAGCAGCCCCTCCCGGCTTCGTATTTCTCCAAACTGTTTTTTTTTTTCTACAGGAAAAGTGTGGGATTTCCCCCCCCCCCCCAACTGTTCTCACCCAAGAAACTCGCAAATCCGGCTGGGAGTTTCTCCGCGCAGCCCTGGGTTGCAACACGGGGACGCGCCCCCGGGAACGGGGCAGCCGCTCCCCCCACGGCCTCGTTAGTGCCCGAGCAGCCCTCCCGAGCAGTTTTTGGGGACTCCTTAGGGAAAACCGGCGGGAGAAAAAGCTTTGGGCAAAACAGGCAGAGCGAACGTTTTCCAAACGCGCCTTTGCGCCAAGCAAAGCTTAGAAAAGTGTCATTTTTTGCCTGTGCTCTTGTCCGGGCTGCGGAGCTCCCGGCGGGGGAGGTGTGCGGGGACGGACCCGGCCGGCCCCCGCCTTTGTTCTCCCGAAGGGGCGCCCGCAGCCGCATGCCTGGAAGTTGTTGTCTGCCCCCCGCCCCTCCCAGGCCACTCCCGGGCTCCGCGGATGCCCCGGAGGATGGGAATGGGGGAAAGCGCGGCGGCGGGAAGGATCACGATCGCTTTGCGCTGGTCTGGGGGTTCGTGGGGGTGCCAGGAGGCGGCAACAACTATCCGGGGAAACCCCGTGGAGGCGGCGGGTTGTCCTTCAGCCCGAGAGTTTCCCAGTATGTTCGACTCTCCTGGGTTTCAGATGTTTTCGGGAGTGTTTATGATGCTTTTGGCGCCGTGCGGGGCAGAGCCGCGGGCTGGGGCGGCGGGGCCCGAGAAAAGGGGGAGTCGCTTTGGCTCATCCGCGCTGCGGGGAGCACAGGGAACACCTGGGCTATTTTGGGAGGAGCAGCTTCGTTAAGTGCTCCTGCGCAAGACCTTGGGAGTACCCAGAGATGGGAGACTGACATTACGCCAGTGTAAGCAACTACAGCAAGTGCAAGACGGTGAGAAACCCCTGTAACTATCTTGGCTCTGCAAAGCAGTGGAGAACTCGGTACGTGCTGCTCTCTTGTGCTGCAGCATCCTCACCTGGGAACTGCCCAGGCTTATGCCTGAGGATCTTTTAGTGTCGGAACTACTAACGTAGCTGTTGAAATCTGTTTTGTATGATGCTATCTTGTTCTCATTTCTCCTCCCCAATTCTTGCATTTCTCCTAGCATTGCAAAGGGAAAAAAGATGGGGTTAGCAAAGGGATAGATTAATTTTTAAAGAGAGAAAATAGCTGTACTCTAAGAGAGGATAAATGCCAGGGCTTTTTTTCTTTACTTGTTGAACAGGGCAGGAGACAGTAAATCACTGTGGATAACAGCCATGGAATATTCTAGTATTCCAGAAGGCTGAACCGTTACATAGAACTGGATGTTGCTCTGGTATTTTGGAAGTTACTGGTTGTTCTGCACACAACTAGTTTCATAGAAGTCTATCTATTACATACAGAAATGTAGTATCTCAGTAAAACTGTGGGCTTTTTCACTGGTAGGGGTTTTGGAGTTTGTTTGTTTTTCTGCTTAGAAATCTAATAGCAGTATCTGCTTACTAGTTGTCTTCCATTGAGTAAATCAAAACTGTATCACTTTCTGCTTTCTCTAAGATCCTACATTATTGAGAAACAAACTGGTTGCTCCTGCTGCCCAAAGCAGTAGTTGGGACAGTCTCTCTGTCATCTGGCCAAACTGGAGTAGTGAGTACTGACACTAGGAATGGTAATTCGCCTACAGATTAGGGAGAAGCATGTGGAAAACCCTGCAAGTCATCGCTTATCGTGTAAAATGCCAGTGGCTTATGTGTTTGGTGTTACTCTGCACCTACAGTGTTACAGCATCTAGGATGTACTGAGCATGGCCTCTCCCGTGGTTATCCCTCTAGGCCTGAGGAATTGGCTAGGTAATCCTTTAACTCGAAGATGTTGGTAACTGAAAGTACAGAAGTACTGAGGGGGTTTTGTTGTTGGGAAAGCTCCCTGTGGTTTTGCTGTTGCTGCGGTAGGTCTGCTGGGCCCTGGAACTGGCAGAAGGAGGTGGAGGGAGTCAGAACTTCATAGATTAGCATTGCACTACTGGCTCTTCCTTCCATATGGCACTTGCAGAATTTAGTCAAATGCCTTCCTTAGCTTCCTAGGATATGTGCATCTTGACTGAGGCTATCTGATTATTCAGCAGACCTCAGTAATAACTTATCTTTGCAATACTGTGGAAAGCAGCATGGTCTACATCTGTCAGGTTGGCTGGAAATGAAAGGAGGATTTTCCACTGATAAAGGAGACACTGTATAGTTGGAATCTTTGCAACATTTGGAAGATCGTGGTCCAGATCCTGAACTGAGATCTGTGCACTCCTGAGTCTTCAAAAACTGAAATAATAGTCATGGACACTAGAGAGATTCTAGTGTCTCTTTCATGAACTTTCTTCATGGGACATTTGCCCTTGGCAGCAACAAGGGGAATGCTACGGAAGTACCTTTGAAAGATGACACTTGACTTAAATTCTATAGTCAAGGGGGAAACCACCACAATGTATGGAAAGAGGATGATGAAACACCTTCGCTTTGGAATTGCAGCTTTTCAGAATGAACCTTTACCAGTCCTGAGGTTTACTTATTGCTTGGCTGGCTGCACAGGCTGATCTTCAGGTTAGACAGAATTGTGGCCTGGAGATGCTGTGGCTACTACATGTCCGAATAACTCAGAAAATCTCCCAGATCCCCAAACTGCTTAAACAACCTGTGAACAGAGGAAGGGAATGTTATAAGTGAAAGCAACTTAGTTGGAAGGACTGACTGTTGAAGAGGGACATACATCCACATATTGTTTCTGCCTTGTAGCGCAGAGGAAGTTGATTTCCTGCAAACCAGTTTCATGAGGTCAGGGTTCACTGTCTGATATATCTCCAGATTTCCAGATGTAGTTTTAAACTTGAATAAAAAGTGTTCAGTCACTCAAAACCCACAGGAATGTTACCATGCTCTGAAGGTACACTGTCACCTTCCAGGTGCAGCAGCTCAACCTCACCAACTCAGGTGAGGCCACATCTTTGGAATAAAGAGCTTCTTTTGTCAACATAGAGCATATTGTTGGAGATACTTTGGGACATAGTGGCAAAGGAAGGGATTTAACTCTTCCTTTACATTTCAAGCTGAGGAAAGTTGCTTCAAATTGAACATGCTGTTGGCCCACTAAGTCTGCTCACATTTCTTCTGCTGCTGCATCCTGCAAGGTTTGTTTTTCTGAGTTTCACTTCTGCAAAGACCTGAGAAGGCTTGTCAGGCAAAACTGACCTTTTGTCTTAGGGGAGGAAACTTGGTTTTCTAACTGCTACTCATACATCACTGCAGCCCTCTACCCTGTAGTTGTGTTTTTCCATGGAGTATGAAACAGCCAGAGGATGGATGGATTTCCTGATGCTTGAGTTGGTTAACTAAAGGAAGATTAGTCTTTAACTTTGCATTGTACACTGGAGTGGGTAATCCATGTGTTTTATTGTTAAGACCATACAAAGTGCTCTCACTTTCACAACTCATCCTGGTAACCTTCCTGACTTTCCAATAAAGTCTTATTCACTATATTTTCCAGTAGGAAACCCATGTAGGGGGTACTAAGGGTGGCAAAGGTCATTCATTAGTCATTCTTATGACTAATTTTTTTTTTCAAGGTTCTGACTGCTTTGTCAGCAGGACTTGAGCAAAGTCATGTGGCAGTTAAAAATACTGACTTTCTGGTGCACTGTAGTTAAAGCTCAACTTTCTAAAATGATCAGGCTTCTTTAGTGATGTCTTTGTTTTTCCTTCTGTCTCGCTTTCTGCCTTGCAAGCTTCTGCTCCCATCTTTGTAGCTTCCTTTTAGAGTCCACAGCATGGTGTTTTGTGGTTTGTCTCAATGAATTCCATTTATATTTTCTACTTAACTCCGTTTCAGTAAATTGTCCTCACAGCAGTTCTTAATCTGGTACTGTGTGTATGCAAGTGCTGTATGTAGTTCAGTTACAAACTTGGCCTTATGTTAGTCTTGCAAAGAAGTGTGTTTATATATACACACATATGTACAATAGACATGTATTTTTAGATATAAAAATATTATTTTTACTAGCTTTTGATATTACTGAATAGTGTGACCTGTTATCCATTTCACCTAAGCAGAGACAAGTACTTCTGGTTAAATGCAAATACGCAAGTTCCTTCATTTAATTTACAAAGACTGTAGTCTTGAAAAAATCTCACTGCTTATTAAACATGTTGGGAATGTTTTGCAGCTCCTTTGTTTGACTTTTCTTATCTGATTTGAATCTTGAAGCTAGGCCTGAGGAATTCTTTGTTTAGTCATCTGTTCTGTCGCTTGTTATGGCCAGTGGCTTGTTAGCAGCTCTCAGTTGAGGGCACTTGAGCCGTGGTAAGCTGGAACTGCAGGGTGCTGTTCTTCAGTGGCCGCAGCTCTCTGTGTTGTCATGTTTCTCATGAGTGCGTGATGGGGGCTTGGTGCTTTGCTTTGCTTTTCTGCCATGAGCTGTGCTGCTCCTGCTCCCCATATTTCATAACAACAAAAAGCAGACGAGTGTCTCCTGTTCAATCCCTGGCCCTGTTGCATTGCAGAAGAGGCTGTATAAAAGGCCAAAATTCTTCTTATTTCCCACAGAAGTAGGAGAGGATTAATGGAATTCATCCCACCCAGTTTGCAGACAGGCTTAAACAAAGCCTTGCACCGCTATTATTCCAGGCAATCTGCAGCTCCTTTGTATATGATGAGGTGGTTCTCGATCCACATTATCCTAAAATCTGAGATGTTTATGCCTTTCAGGCTGGCTTGAAGCAACCATGGGGACCCCCCATATGTATTTATGTGCCTTTGGTATTGAATTTGTTTTTACATTTTCAGTGAACCATCAGCTTTTGATGTGATTTTGATGTGACTGTCTTGAAAACTACATCAGGGCCTTGAAACTTATGTAGTCATATAAAATAATTGAAATTAAAATTTCACTACTGAACTAAAGGAAAAGGATAGCTGAATATATGAATCCAGATCTCACAGAAGTGCTAAATCATTATCCCCTCTGGTCCTTTTTGTTGGCCAGTTCATCTGGTACACTTAGGTTTAGCAAAACTTTGCTGGTTTGTTTAGTCTTTTCCCCATACTGACAGTCACTTCACAAGGAGTGATGTATTTTGATACAAATAGAGATTGGAGTGCCTGAACCTTACAGGTTTGGATGGTACTTGTTTGATCAGGAGTTTGATTACTCAAACTACCTGTTCCTCTTAACATAATGTTTATTCAGTTTAAAAGTTAACACTAATTGGGCTTTCTTATGCCAGTGAAGGCTGTGTGAATGCTTTCAGAATTGCGGGTTGGAAGTTAGGAGAAATGGACAGTCTGATGTGTTGCTATTTCTAGATAATGGTTTGCTTAGAGTTAGGGTGACTCTTTAATTGAATTCAAGGTGCCATTTATGTAACTTTAATTTAAAG